AAATGGGTCTAAAAATTTTTGTGACTTTATTAAGGTTGTGATTATAGCTAGGGTGACTATAGCCAGGGTTGACTGTACTATAAATATTTAAAACTATTAATTACTTGGACGATTTTAACGCTCACCAGAGGTGAAATTCACCGGTTATATGATTAACAATAAAATCGCAGGATCTTGTATAACGGTAATAAAGAAATTTCAAAGAAAGAAAATTAAAAATCATTAATATACTAAAATTTTATTATGAAAACTTGCATCATGTCACTAAGTAAAAGTTTTCAGCGCTTAATTTTACATACAATAAGCACTTTAATCCTAATATAGACCTCGCCCTAACCCTAAAGTTAAAGAAAAAATGGTTCGTTTATTAAGAAATAATTAAACATACCGGTGAATTTCACCTCTGCTTACTCTTAAATAAATTCTAATTACTTTATATAGTATATTCTCTACAAAGATACATTAAGTCAAAGTTGAAAGATATAGTTTTATTTAGAATATAGAATCTTATATTAATCTTATTATCTATACAATTATAAATTTTATTCTATTTCAATAAATTTATATATTAATAATTAATTACTAAATTTTATAAATAAACTATATAAGTATGTACTGTATATAAAAACTAATAGTTTTACATAAAAGTCAAATTAATTTTTGCAAATATGCATTTTAAAAAAAGTATTTATGAATAAGCTTTTATGATCCAATTTTAATACTGTACCTCTAATAAATTATTTTTATACTCGCGCACCATTTGAAGAGTCTTAGATAATAACCAGTGAGATAGGTGGCGCTTCGCGCCACCTATCTGATGTTTTAATATGTTTCGTAAGGTCGTTTTCAAAGAAAGACTCATATATCATAGTACTAATCAGGGGTGCCGAAAAATTAATTGGCAATAAATTTCTTCCTATAATCTCCAATACAACCAATTAATGACGAAGTAAATTTGTTATTTGGTTTTAAATATATAATTAAGATATTGAAATATTTCGGATCGCCCGAAACACTAGTTTCAATAATATTATTAAATTATTACCTAATAGTAATAATTTTAAACCTATACTGTAAAAACAATTATAATTGTATTAATTGAATAGTAGATGCATTATTACTAATATATTACTAAATTGTATCTTATTTTTAGTTAAATTTGGTTTTAATTTATTTACAAAATTTATATATTTCAATAATTATTTTAAATATATGCTAAATATATTATTTAAAATCGTCAAAGTTTTATGCTTATTATTATAAAATTTATTATCGGAATCACAATTTCTTTGCACGAGATAATATTGTACATTTTCACGCAAGTCAATACGTAATATGTGAAATTTATTTCCATGAGGCACGTGTTATATTCAGTAATTAAAGTTTTCCTACTAAAATTAATAACGATAACAATAACGATAATGTTTTGATAAACGCTTATAAAAACAATCACAGCCCACTTAATGAGCCACACATTATTAAAATACGACAGAACCAGAATAAGCCACGCCCATTTATAAACATTTTGAAAAATAAATTTTCGTGTAATCCTATGCATACATTAAAGTTTTTATAAAATGAATGAAAGACAATCACGCATTGTGAGTCGAACTGAACGTCCCAAATCTGATTGTTTTAATGAAGAAGACAAAAAAATAGCAGAACTTATTACTCCAGAGAGTGAAGAAGGACAACATCTAGGCATTATTTATCAAGATCTTGATTATCTAGAATCAGAAAGGAATCATAGCAAGAAATATTTATGTATCGCGTGTTTATCGGTCTGGCTAATAATGACAATTATTTGCATAGTAGTTTATTATAATATTTTCTCGGAGTCTAATAATGTCACAGAATATGATATTTCTAAGATTCCTTTTCAATATCAATTGAGTTTGAGATATTTATATTCAATTAATTATCGATATGATTATGTTATTTCAAGTCTTCCTGATCACGAATTTGCCCAGCAATTTAACTTTACTGAGCACAATGTTGATCAAAATTCAAATAATACTTTCATAACAACTGAAAACAAGCAAATTGAACTTGGCATTTTAATTTCACGACCATTAAAAATTTTAACACCTGGTTATTATGAAGTCCAGGAAGATAGATGCCTACCAAATGGTACAATGTACCGAGTGATAACTGCCATTGCAAGTTTTACGAGATTGTTTTACCTTTCCTGGACACAACCTATGACTATTGAATTTGTTAATAATTTAAATGAAATCGATCATAATGAAACACATTATCAAGACTTAATATCTTGCAAATACCAATTCACATGGACATTCACTCTAAACGGATATGTCAATCGGAAATGTAAAAATGAGTCAGAGTTCCTAACGATCTCCTATGTTAAGGGATCTAGCTTGTTTGGATTCATGTTTTATAATTTGGATGAGACAAAAGTTTACGCGCATACTACCGTACCAGTTTCGGCTGATCGAAATTTATTTTTTAGAAGGTATTATTTATAAAGATTTATTCAAAATGTTTTTTGATGTTAAATTTGGGATTTTAATTTTGTCTATTAATAAAACGATAATAAGGAATGTATACATAGATCAAAACGCACTATTTCCAACACTCATACCTGCACTTTATACCGCTTATTATGATTATATAAATAATATATTTCATACTAATGCTACATATCACTTATAAATTTTTTGTTTAATAATTATAGATTTTATTTCCAAATTTCGTTTAATCATTTTTTTGAAGTTACAATATCATTTATATTCATTTCAATTACTACATTACTTACTTTGGTTAATAATATTTAATAAATATGTTCACTGGAAGTTGGAAGCATATTTGGCTTTCCAATTCTTCCATTATAATACTAATTCCAATTCCAATAAATTTTATTGGAAGTTGGAAGCACTTTTTTGCATTATTAATTGTTATTTGCAGTTAATATGAATTTAATACATAATATGAGAATAAGTATTATAATTCAGTACTATTATGATTCTGAATCACTAGCGAGATATAATCTTAATATAATGCCTTCCCGACATTTTTATTAATGCTTCAAGGTGGGCATAGACTATCGTTTTTAATATATTTAATGTTTTTTATTTTTTTTTCTTCGTCGGGTTTATCTCATTCTGTAACGCCCTAATGCATTAAGCATAAGTTATATGGAGTGTCGTCAACTAAAGAGCCCATTTTTACATTTTTTAAAAAAATAAGTTTTTTTTATTATATTCATGTATATTTTGACATGATTGACATTTTTCGATTATGAATGAAAGTCGATTTGCATAATGAAAAATAGAGATAATGTAGAAAAAAAATTACACGAGGCCAAGCACATCACGAGATTAACGATAGTCGTCTGTTACTTTAACCAATCAAAATCGTGAAATTTGGTTAATAAAATAAGATATACAGGATTCTGCTTACAAGACCTGGAAATTTTACTAGTCTTTAGGAAATTTCACTAAAACTTTACTTTAAATTTTATTATCTTTACTAATTTCAGTTTGTTTCACTTGATTTTTCTTACAAGTTTATATTACAATTTCATATTACCTTTTAATCTACTCAAAGATATCTAACTTTAACTAAACCTGATTCATATAATATTGATTATTATTACTCCAAATATAAAAATCAATATGTTTTTAGAATAAATGAAATAAATACAGAATCTTTTCAAATTCTGCTTGCAGAGGTTTAACTAACAACTTGTGATGCTAGTGTTAAAAAGAAAATACATCACTTTATGATCTCTAAGCAATTAATCTATACTAATTGCTTGTGTAGTAAATACTATACAAATTTTACTTCACAGTTTTATAAGATTAAAGTTACTACTCTTAGTTCTCTTGCTGTATCTTCTTCAATAGATATTTTTTTAACTATTTCAAACAAACACTTCAATTCAATCACAAATTAACTTCTTATTTCACCTATCTCTAAACTCTAACTTTCACAACTTTTTAATCTTTCTCAACTTTCTTCAGTTTTTAATACTGACAAAAATCCTATTTTTATCATAGTTCATACTTACTATACATATACTTGTATAATCTGCAAAATTAAGGTTTACTTTGTATTGATACTAAAAACAAAAGATATTCACTAGATTATACTATTGCTATTCTTCTCAAAAACAAATATTTCATTTATTGTAGCTATGTATCTAAACTTTTAACAATTCCAAATAAACCTTTATTTCAAACTAAACTACTTAACAAGAAACAAAAGATTCTAGTACTTTTAGTAGCTATTGCAATATTATCAGCAAAAGAAAAAATTAGATATTTTAAGACTTTTAAAGTTTATACAAAGACTAATATTAAAAAGCTTTAAAGTAACAGCAAAACTAGTAACAAAATAAAGAGGATTTAAAAAACAATAATAACAAAACTAACAAAGACAAAATAAACAATAACTACAACCAAAAGATACTAAAAAAAATAAAATTAAAATTAAAAAAAATAATAACAATGATGATAACTAAAAAGAAAAAAAAGAAGTTTCTCTTTTTGATTTCTTTAAAAACTTTCTTATTACTACTCAAATGGAACCTATATTTATTTTAATATACTATTAGTAAAAAAAATCTTTAATTTTATTAAATCTAATCTTATCAACTTTAGACTAGATCAAGTACTTAAAAAAGTAAAAAGTGAAATACTAGAACTTTAAACAAACTTTAAGTATCTTACTAAAACTATAATAAACAATCTGAATTTCTAACAGAACTAATTTTTAAATATAATCTTCAAACAATACTAATACTACAATTCCTTTTGATATTTTTTGTTATTAAGGCTATTTCTTTGGCTGATTAGATTTTATTAGTTTATTATTACAGAGCTATTACATGAATAGTCTCTTAAGGTTTTATAGTTATATAATGAATATATAACAAGTTATATATACAACTTTAGTTATTGTCTAATTTAAATAGCCTGCTATACAGACAATTAACTATCTATTGGTTCTATACTATACTGCTATACCTGCAATCTATTTGTGAGTTACCTATTTAAATACTCTTATTATTAATTCTTTTTCTTATTTCAAACTAATATTACTACTATATCTAACTACTTAAGCTAGCTAACTTATATATAGATCTATTTACTGCATAGCTTAGATTCTCTTGAGATATATATTGCCTAATATATTATAAGTATACAGAGCTCTAGTTAACCTTAGAAATAATTCCTACCAGAGTGATCATATGCTTATTTTACAAATTTACTTGGATTAGACCTTTATGAATATTCATACAAATCTAGTTTCTGCTATAGCTTTTCACTAGATATAGTTCTCTGAGTTCTAGCCAGATATTTTATAAGGTAGATCTTCCTAATCTAGTTAGCTACTAAGCTAAGTTGATATTGCTACTAATGCAAAGCATCAGGTTGTATTATATAGCAGACTTATTTGTATCTACTCAATCTATATCTTCTATACTCAGGTTTTTCATTAGATCAAGCATTAACTAGCTTGACTATTGACATCTATACTATTTTACTAAACTTAAGATTTCTACTATACAGGTCTTCTGTCTATATATTCTATCAAGATTTATTTGTACAATATAACTTGAACATTGCATCACACTTCTAATATCTAATTGACATTAGTGCAACATGATTTACAGAGTTGTAACACTCAAAAATGAACAGAGTTTACTATAAGTTGAGTACAAAGATCTGAGTAATTATTCAAATTTGTTGATAGTAGAATTTGAATCTCAGACCTCTTGTATAGTGATCTGATAATTTAACTACTATACTAAGATTACTAGATATTTCTTTTGATATTTTATATAACAACTTTAAATTAATTCTAACCAAATTTACAACTACTCTATTCACTAAACTCAATTATGCAAAAATCTTTTCTCTTATTAAGTTTATTTTTAAGCACTCTTCAAAATTGCAACTAAATTACATTTAATTTTGCTTATTTTATTTATATTTCTTAAATAACTTTCAATGAATTAATTACAAAAAATTTGCTAAAGATCTTGAAATTAGTTTATGCAAATTTAAACTTATTTATTACGAAAATATATATAAAAGTAATTCATACAAAGTATTACTTTAAATGATTAATAATGATAAATAGTTTAATATATATATTCATTTCAATATTCCTGTACTTCAGTTTCTAGCTAATTTTTAAATACCTTTTCTTAAAGAATGTAAGCCTCAATTTAATGAGAAATATAAAAATTTCTTTAAGATTTATAGTTATTAATTTTATTGAATTAATAAAGAAAAAGCCTATAATTATTTTAAATATCAAATTATATAACAATTTGCAAAGTTTTCTAAAGAAGCATTACTACCTCATTACAATATTAAAAAGATTTATTCTTTATAAAATTACTTATAAAAAAAACTAGAAAACTATTATTATTATATATTTACATATATGATAATATAGAAGAAAATCTATGCAAATTTGGTTTAGTGACCTAGTATAGTAGTTGGGTTGTCAGACTACTATGTAATAGATCTAGAGTTCAAATCCTACTGTCGATGAATTTGAATAATATCTAAACCTATAAGCCAAACTTATGAAAAACTCTGCTCATTTCAGAAAAGGGAGTCCTAGGAGATATGACAAAACTCTGTAAAAAATGATGTTGCATCAAGTCAATTAGATATTAGAAGTGTAATGATAATATTATACAAATAAATTTGCATTGAATATATAAGCAGGTGACCTGTATAGTAGAAATTCTGAGTTGATAAAGTAGTACAGCTTTTGATAGTTACACTGGCTAATGCTTGATCTAGAAACAAACTGTTTCAAAAGATATAGATTAGAATAGGTATAAGTAAGTCTGTATCTGTAGTAAAAATTAGCAGCACCAATTTGGCTTGGTGGCTAACTGGATTTGAGAAGATCTACCTCATGAAATATCTAGAGAAATCAATTAATATACACTGGTAGAGAGCTACAGTAAGAACTTGGGTTATTCAAATATTGACAAGGGTAACTATAATTCTTCTAAATCAAGTAAGTTTACTACAAATATAGAGAGCAGATCAAAATTTGGGATACGCTTATAAAAACTCAAAATAGTGTAATATACTGAGCTAGTAGTAGTAATACAAAACACAAAGATATACTAGTCCCTTGAAACACCAATTATATGATAGTAGAATATCTGTATTATAAAATCTATAGCTAGAAGCAACTTATATTGTAAAACATAATCTGAACTCTACTAACATATAGAAGTATCTATAAACAGAAATTAGTATACATACAACTTATCTCTGATATTACATTTAAGTGAGTTCATATCTTAGAATACTATTATTATGATAACCCAAACTGCACCAAATTAGGAGTAGCCATGAGATTATGAATGCCTCATCTAGTTACCAATTTAGAAGTTATTTATAAGGAGTATAAGAGATATGGTGAATACAGCATAGTAGTTATACTCAAAAAAAGAGGTTATAGAAATCTAAATAATACATAGTTGTAG